AAATTCTTTCAATTACTACCAGGTGGCATCCACTTTGGAATTTTAATATTTCTTTATTTTCCACTGTCTTTTTTTTTTTTTTTGAGGAAATATTTTCCACTATCATATTAATCGTCAATCAACCAACAATTTTCATGATTTGGTGATTGATTTCTTTCATCAAAGTTATAATACAATTTTCATTTAACATGTTGTTTACAAATTACACATAATCCTTCAAATCTAATAGTATTAATCACATTGAAAAATATGCACTCCCTTCTCTTTTTTGGGCTTCAGTTCAATCCTATCTCTTATAAGCATGTTGTTTACAAATTAATCTCTTACCCATATTGTATAATAGCTCATCCAAAGAGGGAGGGGGTAATACTCACATACCAATATTCTCCTGTTATGGTTCATTAGTGATCACTGCAGTTCAACAGGATTATTGATGAATTACACCTTAAATCAGTGGTCAAATCTTATCAAGAACAAATATTAACCAAACTTCTAACTTCTAACTTTTAATAATTTCTCCTGTCAAAAAAAAGAGAGAAAAAACTCACCTACCATATTATACTATTTTATTATATAAAACTTTAGGTTGTCTCAATTTATGGTCGTGATATGTCATCCGCCCTAGTTAAATTTTCTTCTTTTGGTCTTTATGGGTGCATTTGTTCATATTTCAAAATTAATTGCTTTTAATTTTTTTAAATGCTATTTATGAGAAATTAAAATTAAAAAATTTATGATAAATTAATTTTTTTTAAAATAAACATACATTTTTCAATTAAATCATAACTCTTTAAATGTAGTTGACATTTTTCTAATACTTATAAATTGTTTATTCACAATCTAAAAACAATATGTCAAAGAAATTGATTCTTATGGACTGAAACCAACCCTCATTCACTGCACTACATTAGCATTGAAATACAAACCGATTGGTTTTATATTGTGGACCTTACTATTATCCAGGGTTTCATTTGCATTTACTGCTAATTAAGTCCTTACTAGAAAACCTTTTTTTTCCCCTTTTTTGATGGAACTAACTTGAAAACTTCGTTTAACACATAAATGCTATAGGCAAACAAATTAATTAATTTTTTATTATGCATCAAGTCTTATAAGTAAATTGTTAAATACATTTAATATCTTAATAATAATAAAATTTGAGTTGTGATAATACCATATTATTTTTCATTTC